TGGTCAGGTACTGAGAAGATAATGAAGTCTCCACAGCAAAGCCTAATTCCACTCGTCTGTCTTGACCATTTAATCTCTGCAACAAAGAGTAAGAGGCAACTTATCAAAAAATGAACCTAATAAGCAGCAGGACGATATTTCCCTTTGTAAAATCTAAGTTTTACATGCCCAGCAGGGGCAGCACTCAATTACTGAGAAGTTCCCTCTCACCCACAGCGGGATGTAACTGAAGCAGCCAACCCAAACGTGTCAGAGAGCTAGCCTGGTTATCTCAAATCATGCGTGTCTGGACAGCTGCTGCTCCCCGAGTCCCAGGTCCCATAAGCACTGTTTGTATCACTTTTGTAGAAATATATCCACAATGTGGAGACTACAGCAGGAAGCACAGAGGTCAGGAAATTTCCTTTTTCTTTTTTTTTTTGTGAGGAAGATCAGCCCTGAGCTAACATCCATGCCAATCCTCCTCTTTTTGCTGAGGAAGACTGGCTGTGGGCTAACATCGTGCCCATCTTCCTCTACTTTATATGGGACACCGCCACAGCATGGCCTGACAAGCAGTGCATCAGTGCGCGCCCGGGATCCGAACCCCGGGCCGCCAGCAGCGGAGCGTGCATGCTTAACCGCTACACCATGGGGCCAGCCCCAGGAAATTTCCTGTACCAAGAACTGCCAGGGAGATTGGTCACATAGCTAGTATTTACTTTTGGTCTGCAATAAAAATAAGTCCACAGCCAGTCAGAGAAGGAGGAAGATAGGAGATAATCGGGCTTGTGATTTTCTACATATTTATTAGGAAAGGAAAATCAAATATAAGAACTTGAATGACAGTCTGAGACCACAGTTGGGAAGCAAAAGCCACTAGCACATAATGGGACCTCAGCAACGCAGGCAGCCTGGACAGTTTCCTAAAGGGCCTCACAGCAAGCAAAGATAGGTGAAAATGATTTCAGAAAGCACTCACAGGCTTTCAAAAGACCTCCCAGATCTTCAAACCAGGGAGCAGCTCTCAGAGATAAGCATCAGATAGCCGAGCATTCTGCTACCACGGTGTTAGATTTGCTGGCAGTGCTTTTTTCCCCCATCAAGGGCAGAGACCACATTCTTTTTAACTGTGTCACCAAGCACATAGCCCGGTGCACACAAGAAATACTCAAAAACAGCTGTTAAATTAAATATTGATTCCCATTTATACTGACCATTACACAACGTGGTGCCCAGACTGTCTGCTTAGTGCTTAGTGAAGAATTCTCAGGATGTTTCACAAATATCTCCTTCTATTTACGACATGAGATGATCAAACAAGATGACAGGATGTGAAGACACCAAAAAGAGCCATAATAAGAGGACCACACCATTCTCTAGCTCCAAAGGCCAGCACTCCAAGCCCCAACACTAGACCATCTCACAGCATCCCCAAGAAACTCTGTTCCTGGGTTCATATCCTCAAAGTCTCACACCTTCAGTCTTGCCTCACTTTCAGAGTCTGGTACACACAGCACAGGCTCTCTTTCTTACCATCAGAGACTCACCTTGAGTATCTCACACAGGCCCTCTCACACATTCAGTGTCACACTTAGGGCCACTCTCACCACAGTCTCTCTCACACTTAGTCTCCCTCACACTTACAATCTCCCTTTCAGTTTTTCTCTCACACATGGAATCACCCTCACACCTGGGGTCTCTCACATACACACGGAGTCTCTCTCACGCTAACAGCGTTACCCTCACACTCAGGATTTTGCACACTCAGTCACCCTCAGACTCAAAGTCTCCCTCTCACACACACAGCCTTTCTCACACACTCAGTCTTACATTCAGGGTCTCCCACACTCCTGGAGCCACCCTCAGGCTCAAGGTTCCTCTCACAAGTTCAGCGGCACCCTGCGGCACGCTCTCACCCGCAGCGTCTCTCACGTGCCCCCGCCCGTCCTGCTCCGAGTCCCCAGGCCCGCATCCCGCACTCGGCGGTGGCGGCGCCAATAGTGCGGCCCCACAGGACGCGGCCCGGCCTGGCCCTGGCCCCGCACCCCCGGCGCGTTACCTCACGGTGGCCAGGCGCCGCCAGGATGCTCTGTCGCACTGCCGCCCCGGCCGCGCGGCTGCTCAGACCCCGCCCCCGCCACGTCACCCGCAGCCGGATCGCGACAGCGCGTCGCGTCGGGACAGGGTGCCCCGCTCCGCGCAGGCCGGCCGGCGGTGGCGCTTCCGGGCCCCAGGGGCGGCCGCCGCCTCAGCGATCCGGCGGGCCGCGCTCAGGCGCCCCCGGATGCGGTCCCAGCCTCTGCGGGCCACGCTGGGGCCCACGCGGGCCGTAACCTGGGCCCAGCTACCCTCGCTGACTGGATGGCTACTCCTCACCCTGCAGAGTCCGTCTGGCCTCCGAGGGATTCTATACGGGGACGCTCCCGCGGGGAGCTCTAAACGGCCCGCACACCCCGTTCCTATGTGGCCTTTTGCCTGGGCTCACCACCCAGGGGGACCCCATACAGCTCACACAAGGAGCTCTAAACAGACTCCATACCCGGTTCACAGCCAACCCTCTGCCTAGGGAGGCTAGGAATACGCAGACCCAAGACTTGTGCTCCCACAGCTCAGACTACCAAACATCCATTAAGGCCCCCACAGACACATGGACATGGCCAGGCTTCAGTAGCCAACCCCAGGCCTCCCTGGGACTCAGGCTTGAGGACATTTTTCGTCCTCCTCCTGCCTGACTCTGCTAACACCCCTCTTGGGAGAGCTGCATCCTCCAATCCTCTTCTTCCTCTGGTTGCTCCTCCTCCATCTCCTTCTAGGGCTTCTTTTCCTCTAGTAGCTTTGAGGCTCTGTCTAGGGCCTCCTGACCTCATGGGCAGCTGAGCCCTTCCCCTTAGCCTCCTGTCCACACCTCAAGGCTGGACCATGGAGTCATTTCCCCCAGACATGTGTTCACAAAACTGCACATCCTCTAGTTCCATACTGATCACACCCAAAACCCTGCTCCTCGCTACCCACTGACCCAGCCAGAGAGGGACAGCACCCTGGACCCTTCCTCCTCCCTCCCCCCTAGGCCCTGCATCTCACGGTTTTCTTCCCCCCAGCCATAATAGCCTCCCAATCCCTATCCTGCTCCCTCTAACCCACCCCTACAGAGGGGTGCTCCTCTGCCAAAAAAACCCTTCCACTCCTCCTCTATAGACCTGAGATGATGATCCTTGAAGAGCCCTCACTGATGCTGCCCTCCTGTGCTCTCGGCTTGGAATACTTTCCCTAAGTGTAAATGAGAGGATGTATATATTTGGAGTTATTAGAGTCTGACCCTTTGCCCCCTGGATCAGTTTCTCCTGCCTCCATGGCCAGGCAGAGGAAGGGCTCTGGACACTTGTGTGACTCAGTGGCAGCCACACCACTGTCCCTGCAACAGCTGCATATCCAACCTGCCAGCTCCCAGACCTCTGGCTTTGCTGTCTCACACCCAGTTATAGCAGCCCACCGGCTGAAAGCCCACAATGTACCAAGCACTGAATGGGATGTTCTCCAACACCATCAGTGTTCCTCAGGACGACTCTGCATGGTACATTTATTCATCCCCATTCTTCACGTGAGCAAACTGAGGCTCAGGGAGGTCAGGAGACTCCCCAGGCTACATGGCTAGAACTGGTAGAACTCAGATTTGAGCCCCAGTCTGCTGGACCTGAAGCGTGCTCTGACTCCATGCCCTCTCCCTGCAGTTGTGAAACCAAGGGTGGCAGTGGGGCTGAAACGGGTCAGAGGTGAGTGGGTGGCTACAAGGTTACCACAAGGGGTGGCATGGGTGGGTGAGTGTCAGGACAGAGATGGGAGTCAGGCTGGGCAGGGCCTAGGGGTGAGAGTTTGCTCCCTCTCACGTTGTCATCCTTTTCCCAAGGCCAGTGATGCAGCTGGACCTATGTATCCCTAGGCATTCTCTCTCTAGGGTGGTCTCTGGGACACTCCTTCTTCCAGGTTTGGCCAATAACTGGTGTGGTCAGAGGCTTCAGAGCACCCTCTAGTGGCCCAGACTATATGGAAGCCTGAAGCCCAGGCTGGCCCAGCTCTGTGGAGGAGGTAGAAACTGGGGCTCCTATGATCCCTGCTGGCCCCTGGCTCTGGGCTCTGCACCACAGAATTCAGGCCTGGACCTCATCCCTATGTGTGTTTCCCTATTTCAGACTCTCTCTCTTTCTCTGTCTTTATCTATCTCCATTTGGTCCTCAGTCTCTCAGCCTCTGTCTCTGCCCATCTTGGTCTCTGTCCATACCAGTCTCATCCTAGTCTCTCTTTCTCCCTCAGTCTCACTTTGTCCCTAAAGAGGCACAGAGGTGAGCAGATGAGCTAAAGAAACAAACTAGAAGGGTCGGGGCCAGCCCCGTGGCTTAGCAGTTAAGTGTGCGTGCTCCGCTACTGGCGGCCCGGGTTCGGATCCCGGGCGCACACGGACGCACCGCTTGTCCGGCCATGCTGAGGCAGCGTCCCACATACAGCAACTAGAAGGATGTGCAACTATGACATACAACTATCTACTGGGGCTTTGGGGAGAAAAAGGGGAAAAAAAACAAAAGTAGAAGGATGGCTTCCTAAAAGAGAACTCTAGGTTCCAAGGATGCTGAGACCTGCAAGCTAAGAAAGGACAGAAGGCTGGGAAGGGCAGTCCAGCCAGGGTGACCTGCAGGATTCTCTTTGGCCCCTAGCTCTGGGTTGGCATGCGGGGCCTGCTGACCAGGCACCAGACAGGAACGGGGAGGAGGAGGCCAGGAGCCGCATTCCAATGGGAATGTTTCAGCTGATGGTTCTTAGTTCCAGGAGGGGAATTAGATTCCAGGAGAGGGGGCAGGAGGATGAAGCCCAGAGGTGCACAGGAGCAATGCTTTGGTGCTGAGAAAACCCATTAAGGCTCCAGGAAAGGTCTAGCCCCTGATTACCTGCCTTTCTAGCCCCATCAGCCCTCCACTACCTCCCTCATGCTCAGAGCAGAGAGCCTAGACCAGGACACTTTATAGCATCCAGAATACTTTTATTGCCAGAATCGAGGTACAGCCTGCTCAGAGCCCCATGCAGGGCTCACCCCTCAAGAACAAAGGGAGAGACAGATGCTGGGTATGGACGCAACAGAAAATTCAGCTCCACAGAAACCTTGTGGGAGAGCAGCACTGTCCAGCCTGACTGTGGCTTTGGAACCCCACCCCAGAGGCTAGACCCAAGTCTTGGCCTGTAGCCATCGCCCACTTGGAGAACACTGCTACCAAGGCAGATCCAGATTCTCTATATCCCGCTATCACAGGGAGATCCATGCAGCACCTCTGGGGCAGACAGAAAACCCCCAAGGGGGCCCCAAGGCACCTGGCTCTCTCAGGGCCCCACTCAAGTTTCTGGGCTAGTCTCTGCAGAATAAACACCACTGAGCTGCCTGGTGGGGGTAGGTGCTGGACAGGGTGGGCAGGAGCCCTACCTCCTCTCAGTCCTGTGCCCCACTTGGGTGCTAGAGGGACCGTAGGGCAGGGTGGCAATGTGGTGGTGGGGTTAGCAAGAGGGGAGCTCTGAGTGGCCTTGGCTGCTTCCTTGGAGTTCTCTTCCTTCATGAGTACCTAAAACGCCATGGCACTGGGCCCTGCCTTCATCCTTAAGCCACAGTCCCAGGGCAAAGGGAGCCAGCATCAATACTGTGGCCAACAGCCCAACCAAGGGGCACAGGGCTCCTGGGACACAGTCCCCAGAACCGGGGGCCATCTGCTACCCAATCCTGAGCTAGGCTGCTCTCGGAGGTGAGGGGAGTAGGAGTGAATGCCCTAGGCCCTGGGAACCATGGAGAACACAACAACCCGCCCCTGCCTGCAGGGGGAACCAGGCTGTCCCCAGGAAGCCACAGTCAGGCTGTTGAGCAGCTAGGCCACAGGGAAGCCAGCAGCTCCAACCACTCATGGCCAGAAGCAGGCCCACCTGTGGCCAGTGTGTGGGAAGGGTCACCCTAGGGTCCAGGAGCCCATCCCTGGGACCTTTCTGGGTAGGGACTACAGCTCAGTAATATCCTTCACAGGAAGGCTGAAGGGCCAGGGCCTGGTGGGCAAGTGTGAAAAGGTCACAGGGGTAGGAGGAACACATGGCCCCAGAGTTAGGGATTGGGGCCAGGTGCCAGACAACCACCCTTGGAGCCAGTCCTGAGGTCACAACAATTCCACCATCAGCAGCATTCTTTCCATCAAGAGTTCCTCAAGTGAGTCCAGACTATTTCTTCCTTCCTCATTCCCACAGAGGAAGGATAAGAAACAGCACTTCCCCATGGCAGATGTTTCACAACCCAAGACCCAGAGCCTTGGACAGTCAGTCACAAACTGCTAAACTCACGGGCCATGGCATCCCCGGAGGCCAAAAGAGCAGCTGTGGCCGAGCCATCCCCCAGCCCTGCCTGCCACAGGAATCAGGGCCCAAGGAGGACGCGTTTCAGATAGGCCAGGGTAGTGGCATTGGCCAGCATCTCAATGTGCTCACTGCCTGGCAGCTCCTGCAACGACACTTGGTGCTCCTGGTGGCTGCGCCAGGTCCGGCACTGAAGGGCACTCTGCAAGTTCACAGTGCCATCGCCATCGCCAAAGCAGATTTTAGGATCACGGTCCGGGAAGCTCTCATAGTAGAAGGAGTCTGGTGTGGGGACACCAGTACCATAGAGGCAGTGCAGCTGCACACCAGGCGGCACTGTGGCTTCAACCAGTCCCTCTGTATCCTGCCGCATGAGCCAGCCATCTTCGAAGCCAATGTCCTGGAAGAACCGGCGATAGTCCCGCAGCGTGTAGTTGGTCGTGGGTGTGTGCACAAATACCTTCTCAGATGACCAGGTATAGTTGTAGGGCAGCAGCCAGCTGGTAGAGACGGCAGACCGCTGTTGCTCCCGGATCTTCAGGGTCCCAATGACCGGGATCCGGTTGTTGTCTCCTGCAGGGAGAGGGCTCCGACCAGGTCAGTCTTTACTCAGGAATGCAAGCTGGCTGGGCATTGTGTTCACCACTAGGCCCCCTGCTGTACCCCAGCCAGTGGCCCAGTCAGCACTCCAGCATCTCTACACTGTTAACACCATTAGAACTCCTACACCTGCATTGGCTTTTATTGTTTCCCTTTATTTTTGCTATATCTGGGAAGCACCCAACCAGATTTGTTTCTTTCCTTTTACATTTCTTCCCCAGGGATTTAGCACACATCCATAGGGTGATTTATTGTGTAAACAGTACCCTCCTGGGAGCACTTATCACTGGGTCTGTGGGCACTGATCTTGTCGAAGGTGAATCAGCGGGTTGGCAGCCCAGAGACATATTCTTCTTTCTCTTTTATTACATTGAGCTATGTAAACGTTTTTCTTTTCCTAGGCTCAGACCGGCAGCCAGCCAGCCCTGGTCTCATCCCACCCACCTGCCTGTCACTGACCTGGGCAGTCAGGCCTACAGGAGGCAGGGCAGGAGGGGAGGCTGCAGACAGAGTGACAGTCCTTCTCACACTGGAATGCCAACAACATAAACATATGCACCAGCCAGTGAGACCCCTGGGAACAGGGACCTCTGACCTATTCAGGACCCGTGGCCACCCATCACTCTACCTCTCTGACTGACCACAGGACCACAGCTCTTCGTGGTGGGACCTGGCTCTGGGACCCATGATGAATGGGAAGCCCCTAGCTAGGGGTCCATGGACTACCCCTCCCACTCCCCCCTGCTCCCGGACTCCCAGGGCCTGACAGAACAGTTTCCCAGCATCTGAGCCAAAGCTCTAATGGAACTCAGAGGGAAGCTCTCAAAGGGGCGGGGCCTGACCTTCACCATGGCTCCCTGTCTCAAACTCAGGGGGTGCCCATGTCTGTCACTTCAGGTCCAGGCTGAACAGAGTAGGTGGCCCTGATGAGTCTTCTCTATATCTGGGTTCATTGTCCAGCCAATTCAGGGTCACTACTGGGAGCGGCACTGGGTCTGACCTGTTCACAATGATCAATTGACCAACAAGCAGGTCAGGCAGTGCCAGTGACTTGAAGAAGAAAGCTCATCAGATACTTGGCACAGCCCCAGCTCATGGCTCCTAAAGTGAGGGGTCATGGGGCTCACACTCAGTCCTAGCAGAAGGAGGGAAGCCCTATGGCTGCTGCTGGTAGGTTCTGACAGTTGTGAAAAGGCAGGTGGATTGGGGAGGGATAGGGAAGGAGGTGGCTTTCCCAACTGCAAGGCAAGCAGGCCCAGACAAATTGCACCTGTTTCCTCCCTGAGTTGCCCACAGAGGCTCCCCACGGCCACAGATGGAGGGGTAACTCATAAACAGGAAACTGTAGTCCCACCTTCCTTCTCTGGGGCAAAGGTAAGGATGAAGAAGTGAGGATGGGGGTAAGAGAGAGGGAGAAGGCTCCCCCAAAGAACTTTGGGCCAAACAAGTTAGGTCAGCCAGGCCTGAGCACAGTGTGTGTGTGTACACGTGTGCACAAGCAAGTACCTGTACGACCAACAGTATGCCACTCCATGTACATGCTGTAAGAAACTTACACAGATAACAAGGGTCAAGAACTAGAGAAATTAGGAGTAGTGTCAGATTCTCTTTTGAAAAAAGAGATGCTTGGAAAAGAATACCACTCTGGAGAAAGAAGGGTTCTGACCCAAGAGAAGGGACATAAGGGTGGCCCAGGAGGACAGTGTAGAGGGAAAGAGAGGGCACCATCCCCAATACCAGCACCCCCATGCTTGGCCAGGCAGGGTCTTACCTGAGGCCAGGACACGCAGGGTCTTGGCCACGCCCCCCCAGGGCGCACCCAGTGCCACGAAGGCACGGATATACTTGTCCTTCCAGGCCTGCGGCTGCCGCTGCAGAAAGTAGAGCGTGTACATGTTGCCCATACTGTGGGCAACCAGCACCACGGGGCCCCCATACAGCTGGTACATCTTCTCGATCATCTCCCGGAGGGCCAGGAAGTAGGGCCCGTTTTCATCTGCAGGCCAGAGCCAGATGGGGGTCAGGCAGGAAGGGTCCTGGGGCCTGAACTGCTGACTGTTTCTCAGGCCAGACCCAGGACTAGGTAGGTGGAGAGAGTGCTAAAATCCAAGTGGAAGCAGTCTGGTTTCCCCTTGGTTTCCATGAAGGTAGGAAACAAAGGGGCTCCCCTTCCCCTCCTCAGCCTCGTTCTCTGTCCCCAGGGCTAAGGCCTAGAAATCCCGGGGTGAGGGATGGGGAAGGACAGGACAGACCGACCAGGGGTGGTAGCTGTAACCACTGGGCTAGACGCCAGAGGCCCCAGGATAGGAGAGCCCAGGGCCTGTGGTGGCTGTGACGTCCTCGTCCCCACTTCCTAAGACCTCAGGGAGGAAACGAGGGTGACCACTTACTTGGGGCTCGGCGCCAGTCGTAGGGAGCTCCCCGGATGTCCTCACCCCGTGTGTAGCCCCAGCTCACCAGGCTCTCCGCCATGGTGTGGAAATAGGAACCTGTAGACAGAAATGCATAGGATCAGAGAGGGTACAGCCAGTGCCAGCCACCTACACCACATCTGCCAAGGAGATTGTGACATCTACTGCAGGGAGGCCCCTGAAGGAGTGCTATAGGGCTCTGCCCACACTGATCAGAGACAGTTCACAAACTACTCCTTCAAACTGACAGGGTTCCTCCCACCCTAGGAGTCCAACTGAACCTCCAGCCCCATTCCCTGGAGGGCAGGAGGAAGGGCTACATACCCACACTGCTTTTGCTGGGGTCCAGGAACTCCAGTGAGAACGTCTTCCCAAAGCCAGGGACACGCACATCCACACCATCGGGAAATTGGGTGGCCCGGGATGTTCTGTTGTAGACTAGCCTGTCAGGAGGGGATATTGAGCTGGTGATCCAGAGGTAACACTGAACTTGGTGTGTCGTAATACTGCCCTGTGACCTAAGCCATACTCCCTTCCCAACCTCAGGTTTGGTCAGATGTATAGGGGAGACCAAAATGTAACAAATCAAGTTTATAAAGCGCAGATCAGAGTAACTACATTCAAATGAGGACTCCTAACAAGGCTTACTCCAAACATGGACCCCAGGACCCCTGTTGAGGCAATATTACCTTCTCCTTAATGTCACCCACGCCAGAATGCAGGTCTTGGATTTGGTTGGGAGAGGGAAGCACCAGGCCTGGTTCTGCCATGAACATCACACTTGACCCCAAAAGGCAGGCAGCCTAACCTCACAGGCTCCCGCTGCCCCATCTCCACAGACCCATCTCCTGCCAGCCGTCATAACACATCACAGGGCAAAGGAGACGGTGAGCACAGCACACAACAGAACTGGACAGAGAGACCCCCACTTCAGGGCCCAAGCCCCTGTGGCTGCTGTGTGGGTGACCAGGCAAGGCCTGGAGAAATGATGGAGACAGGAGGAAAGCTTTATGCCAGGCCAGCAACTCTGCTTTGGCCTCCCTGATACCAAGGAGACAAATGTGCTCAAGAAAACACAGGTTAGACCTGCAGTCCCTGGTGGTCCTGAGTCCCACCCCTCCTCCCCCTTAAAGATCAGCCAAAGCAAGCTGACAGGATCCCAACATTGGCCCAAATAATAGGTCCAGGGGGCCCACTTTCTCCAGGGCAATCTGTAGATTATCCCAATGGCCACTCAGCAAAGTGCACAAAACTGTTCTGGAAAGCCAGTACAGCTCTGTGCTAGATGAAAATCTAAACAGGTCAGAGGACCAGTGAAGGTAGACAAGCCCCTCTCAGTATCAGCCTGTACCTCCAATTGGCAGTACTGAGACCATGTCTCTGGTACAAAAATAGACATGCAGATCAACAGCCTAGAAATAACCCTGATCACACACAGAGAAGGAAAGAGTCAACAAAGCAAGCATCATAAACAACAGGGAAGGGCAGGGTGCCTGGAGAGAGAGCTAGTGTACCTCCGAGAAAATTTATTAATTTGTGAGACTCCATTCAGCTCAAACATTTGTTGAGCACCAGTTGTGTTCCTGGTTCTCCTGCTATAAAGATAAAAGAGACACAGTCCCTGCCTTCAAGCTCAGTTTGGGAGGGAACCTTAGCTCAGTGCCACACAATTCTGGGTTTGAGTCCTGGTCCTGCCACTTATTAGCTGAGTGACCCTAGGCAATTTTGTAACCTATTTGAGCTTCCAGATTTCCTCTTGTAAAAGAGGTTTGAGGGCCGGCCCCGTGGCTTAGCGGTTAAGTGCGCGCGCTCCACTACTGGCGGCCCAGGTTCGGATCCTGGGCGTGCACCGAGGCACCGCTTCTCCAGCCATGCTGAGGCCGCGTCCCACATACGGCAACTAGAAGGATGTGCAACTATGACGTACAACTATCTACTGGGGCTTTGGGGGGGGGGGAGAAAGAGGAGGATTAGCATGGATGTTAGCTCAGGGCTGATCTTCCTCACCAAAAAAAAAAAAAAAAAAGAGGTTCGAAGGGCCGGCCCGGCACATAGCAGTTAAGTTGGTGCATTCCAGCGGCATAGCAGTTAAGGTGGCGCAGTCCGCTTTGGCAGCTCAGGATCCTCCAGTTAGGATCCTGGGTGCAGACCTACTCTCCCCTCATCAAGGCATGCTGAGGTGGGGTCCCACGGAGAAGAACTAGAAGGACCTCAACTAGGATATACAACTATGTATTGGGGCTTTGGAGAGAAAAGAGAAAAAGAGGAAGATTGGCAACAGATGTTAGCTCAGGGCCAATCTTCCTCAAAAGGAAAAAAAAAAGATTTGAAAACAGCATCTGTTTCATAGGGTTGTTGTAAGACTAAGTAAAAGAAAGTATGTAAACTGTACTGTGCCTGTATTCAACAAGCAGTAATTCTCATTACATTATTATTATCAGGGAAAGATCCTTGGAAGTAAGTTTGGACATGATGAGAGTCAGAGGAAACAGGCATGTGGCCTGGGGGAAGGAGAGGTTAACAGCTCTAGGGAGTGGCAGAGGAGACTTCACAGGGGGACTATGCTCAGGTTTTAAAGGGCGAATGGGAGGGAATTTATCAGGCAAAGGGTGTAGAGCTAGATTCCAGGCTGAAAGAACAGCATGTGCAAAGGCATGGAGACATGGCACGTCCCAGGAAGAACAAGCAGATGGAGCGGCAGGTTTGAAGGGCTGGCCCGGTGGCATAGTAGTTAAGTTGGTGCATTCCAAGTCAGAGGCCAGGGAAGGGGTGGAAACCATGCTGAGGCTATGAATAGGGCCTGGAACATAGAAACCACAAGTAGGGCGTGAGGCACAAGACCTGAACTAGAGAGAGTAGGGACAAGAGCAGCAGGAAAGGGAAGAAAGTTCTGTCTGAGAGAGCGCAGAGGTGGCGCTGACTAGGCTGAGGAAATGGGAAGGGAGAGAGGTCAGTGACCTCAAGGTCTCTTAAGGTGGGGATGAGATGGAAATGGTTTCTGAGAGGTTTTTTAGGCTAGGTCGGTGAGCGGCACCCCATCTGTGCTCCAGCCCCCACCTGATATTGTCAATCCAGCAGTCAATGATGACAGGCAGCAGCAGTTCAAGGTTCAGCCAGAGTGTGAAGTAGCTGTCCGTCCTCTTGGAGCAGAGGTAGTGCACGACTGTTGGCTTGTCCAGCTTTGCCTCCAGCTGGTTGCCCAAATCACCAGGCACTGTAGGGGCACACAGAGCATGCATGAGGCCCTGGGCCTGGCAGACTGGAGACCCTCGAGGCTTGAACCCAAAGGGCTTCTACCCATAGCCGTCCCAGGATACAGAATAGGCAGGGCCTTGTTCACGCTGAGAGAAGGAGTAGGAAACAGGATAGAACATTGGGCCACTTAACCAGCCAAAACTGAATCCAGAGAAAGGACTCCAGGACAGGCCTGTGGAGGGGGGCAATGAACAGAAACACAGTTAAGAGAAGCTCATACTGGCACCTGCTGGCCTACTGAGGTCCCCCGGCCTTGCTAAAGGCCAGAGCCCAGTAAGGTTCCAGAAGGCAGATCATCTGGAGGGCCTTAGCATCTTGGCACCTGGAGCTTGTGTTGGAGATGGCTACCCTGAAACAACACACTATTCCAGCCACAGCCCAGTGGGAATGGGTGTGACCCAGCCCCAAGGATGACTTCTCTCTACCCAAGCCAGCCTATCCAGTCTACACAGAGCCCTGGGGCCCTTGTGACACTCAAACCCATCCCCATTGCTTCACTGTCCAACACTCAAGGCCCTTCACAGTCTATTTATTCCCAGTGACCTCTCAGGCCTCACTTGCTCCCACATGCCACGCTCTCGACAACTTCCAAACACACCCCCATTTAGGATCCATGATCACTGAGTAAACAACCAGTGTTTGGCTCTCCTGGGCATTCACTGGGCTCCAACTGTGAACCCAGCCCTTCCGAGGACATGTCCTCCCTGTGCACCATCACATATTGTCCTCAGGGCAGCCATGGGAGGCAAGTATGACACCTGCCTTCACCTCCCTTCACGATGTGGGTGCAGAAGTGGGGAGTCCCCAGCATGATGGCCTCTGGATGACGTGCTTGTGGACTGGGTAGCACAGTGCAGAGACCTTGATCACTGTCTCTATCAAAGAGGAAATGGCTGAAAGAGGCAGTCACCAGATATGCTTTGCCTGGATGCCTTTTACGCTGGCCAGGCTGTGTGGCCTCTAAAAATAGTAGTGGTCACCTCCTGAGCCCTTTTGTGCCTAGAACTAGGACAAGAGCCATCCCTGTGCCTTTCACCTTAAATAACGCTGGGAGAGAACATCCTTATTATGCCCACTTTACAGATGAGGAGACTGAGGCTGGGAGAGGTGGAAATGGCTTGCTACAGTCCCTTCCCCCTGCCCAGAGGCTTCTGTATCACTTTTCTGGCCTCTGCTTCCCCTACCACCAATCTGGGTCCCACCCATAGAGGCTGGTCACCCTTGAATGCTGATCCTCTGATGGTCAAGATCAGGTCCCTGCTCTGTGCTCAGGAACAGTTGGTCTGCTGCCCACCACAGAGTTTCCCAGGATTAATGCCAACAGCCTCACTCTCTGAAAAGCTGGGCAGGTTAGGATTCCAGTTACTCCTTGACTCTGAGTGGGACCTGTGGCTCCTCTGCTGTGATCTAGGATACCCAAAAACTAAATGAACTGATAAGTGCAGCTAGTACCAATCCAGGCGATAAGGCTGCATGCTGGTGAAGGACCACAAACTTTTCAATGCCATACCCTTCATACTCAGAACTCCTTAGGCCCACTCATGTCCTGCGGTCTTCCAGGATGAAGTCCAGATGACCCAACCAGTCACGAGCCCTGCACAATCCACTCCTCCCCCCACTCTATTCCAGACAGCCTGGACTGCTTACTTCCCTCCCTCTGACATGTAGTTCCCTCTGCCTGGAACTTTCTCCTGGCCTCAGCTCCAGCTGCACACTCCAAGAAGCCTTCTCTCACTGGGTCAGTGGATTCTCTGTGCTTGCCCAGCATAGACCTCATCTCTGTCCTGCGGGCTCCCAGGATGAAGTCCAGATGACCCAACCAGTCACAAGCCCTGCACAATCCACTCCTCCCCCCACTCCATTCCAGACACAGCCTGGACTTACCTCCCTCCCTCTGACATGTAGTTCCCTCTGTTTAGAATTCTTTCCTGGCCTCAGCTCCAGCTGCATACTCCAGGAAGCTTTCCTTCACTGGGTCAGTGGATTCTCTACTTGCCCAGCACAGACCTCATCTCTGAGGATCATCCTGCAAGCTTAGGGAAGGCAAGGCCAAGTCTGTCCAAATCCCATGGTGAACCTGGGCCCAGCATCCCTGGAGCATTTCCTGGCCCAGAGCTCCTGGTGGGACCACACTGCCTGCCAATCCTTCTGTGATCTGCATCATCCCCATTCAAATACTCCCAGCAGAAAGAGCCTGAGGGTCATGCTGCAGCAGACTCAGTATGTAACACATACCTCAGCATGCCTCTGCCTTCAGGAGTCCCGGCTGGCCACCAACACCCTAGCTCTGGGTGGGACGGACGGCCTGAAGGGCATCCAAGGCCCTCAAGACAAAGGTCTCATCCCTGCCCACCACCACAAGGAAACACTGTGGCTCCTGTACAGTTGCTGGGGCCAGGGCCAAGGAAAGGGTAGGCAGGGGAGGTCACCTAGTCCCAACATAGCCTAGTCCAAGTGGGTCTGGCAGGGGGATGTTCCCTGATATCTAATCATAGCCATTGTCCCAACGCTTACCTCTGTCTTTAGCAATCCTCAGATTCCCTTGGGCCGCTTCCCTCAGGCCCAGCGCTACCCATTTGATAAGTTTAGGGGGAGCCTTGCTGGCAGGCTAGGAAAACAATTCTTTCCTCAAAGAGCTTCCTTTCAGTAATGCCCTCTGAACCGTGTGGGGCTGGAAGGGTCGAGGGAGACAGCCTCCTAACCAAACCCAAGTCAAGCCCTAGCTCAGGCTCCTGGGGGCCAACTCCGAGGCCACCCTACCCCCACCGGCCCTCAGGAGCGGGGCCAAAGGGCCTCGGTCTTTCCAGCTAAAAAACAGGGATAAGGCAAGGCAAGGCAAGGCAAGGCTTGGGACTGACAAGGACAGGCGGACTGATGGGCAACTTCACGGTAACCCTCCCACTTACCCCCATATTCTACATGGCAAGGTGATAAGAGGTTGACCACACCCGCGCCCACGATAGCGGGAGGTGGACGGACCGACCCAGGTGACAAGACAGTCATACGCTCCCCGACTCCGTGCTTAGAGCAGATGCAGACCTGGAAGACAGCCCCGCCCGCACCCCGTCCTGCCGGACGCACGAGAGAACAGACCCACGACTGGACGCGCGCCTCACCCAGCACCACCGGGGGGGGACGTCCGGCCGGGAGCGCCGGGTCTGCGAGCAGCAGGAGGAACAGGAGGCCACCTGGGAGCAGGGCCGCGCGGTAGGGGCAGAGGCGGAGGCCCATGGCGCGCGACGGCGGCTCCAGGTCCGAGGTACGGATTCAGCGCTCCGGACTCGCGCCTAGGCCGGGGCGGCGGCGACGCGCTTAACCCAGCGCCGCCCGCAGCCTCCCACAGCCTCCCACAGCGGCCAGGCCAACCAGGGCCCGCCTCCCGCAAACAGCCTGCCAATAAGGACTCGCCGCCAAGAGCGTCCCTCCCAGTAGGAGCTCGCCGCCCCGCCCCTGCTCGTCCCGGGCCAGCTCCCTCGACTGCGCCGCGCGCCGAGCTCATCGATCGATCGAGGCTCAGCCTGGTTTCCACGCTGTCTGTGGGCGACCCCGCGGACCCAGCTCGCAGCTGCTGGGTACCCAGGCCAGCCTTCGGTACCCGAAGTCCACGCGGCGCAGCCCTCACCCCCTGACCTGACGCCTCCCTGACCTGAGATCTGGAAAGGTCCGGGCCGAACGGGGATTCAGGGTCCAGTGCTCGCCGCTGCTGAGCGACCCGGGTCAAAGAAAGGGGAAGAAGAGGAGAAGTGAGTCTCGGGCAGTTCTTGGGTCTTAGGCGACCAGGAGCTGCCCAGGACCTTTGTGCAACTCCCACGCCGGTTCTTCGCACCCTGCCCCGAGGGCACTTAGGTTCAGGCAACCCCGGCCCAGGGGCCCTCTGCCGTCTACCCCGGGTTAGGGATGCAAGTGGGACGGGTAGACGCCAGGTCAGCGTGTTTCGCTTCCCAGTGAGAGGTCTGTCCGCCCGTTTTAGAGGCGCGGAGTGTGGAGTCACCCCGCCTGACCAAGCAGCTCGCACGCCAGGTTGAGTGTGGTCTTGAGCCTCAACCCTGCGCCACAGCCCACTGGCAAGTTCCCCCGCAGAGCTGGAGGGGTGTTGGGACCTCGTGGTCCGCCACACCTCCCACCCCACGCAAACCTGGGGATCCAGAGAGGACACAGATTCCCTGCGCGAGGAATCCGGGACGACCAGAGTGGTCAAAGATTTGACAGCCGGTAATATGCCGGCACCATGCATCATTCTGGGATGGGGGAACAGTTGTTTGGAGACTGGAGGTCTTGGTTCTCCACACCCCCTCCCGAGGGCCAGTCCACACCCTAGTCATCCCTACCTGGTCCCAAGACCTATCCTGCCCCTTCCTGCCCTCCTTCCTTCCTTGCTTCCTTCCTTCCTTCCCTCCCTCCTTCCCGGTCAGTTGCTGACCCTTTCCAGCCTCTCAGAGTGCTCCTCGATGAGTCTACTCACCATCGTGGCCGGCCCGGCCCCTCCTGTGTTCTAATAGTGAAACACATTGCTGATTGGAGTACCCTACTCGCTTAAGGTCCAACTATCTCCCACCTCAGGCCCTGGCCCTCCCAAAACTCCTGCCTCCCTCACCTCCATCCCAAGCCCCAGCAGAGGGGTTGTTGAAAACCAATCTAGTGTACGCCCAGTGTGGGAGACCATAAAGACCTTTCTGCCAGGGCTAGGGGGACACAGGAGTCCAGAGCCAAGGGTTGAGTGGGGGGACAGTAGGGATCAGGATGGCCTGGGCTGCCATTACTGTCCACCCAACCCCACTCATGACCCTCCTATTCATCGTATGCATCTCACTCATAGTGTGAGGACCCTGCAGTGTACACTGGCCATTTCCCCCAACTTCCACTCCCCCTCTTCCCCAGCTATCTCATCCCCAGCCTCAATGGCTTCCTTGCTGCCTAGAACAGGACAACCTCATTCTCTCTCAGGACTTCTAAACTTATTGCAGTGGGACCACTCTGTAGCCCCCATTTTTGGGGACTCAACTGAGTTCTGCATTTAGGCCTCACCCCAGACATGACCACTGGCTGGCTCCCATTAGAATATAATCGCTAGAAGAGCAAGCCCCTCACCTGTCCTATTACTGTGGCACGGGCAGCAAAGTCCCTGGCACAAAGCAGGTGCTTAACATATGTTGAATGAATGAGTGATACATCCCCTTCTCTACAACCCTCCCCACTTCCAGAATAGGGTCTTGGTGCTTGTCAGACCTGGAGAAGAAGATAAGGGACTGAGAGGTCCACAGGGCTGGATGTGAGTTCTGGGAAAGAAGGAAGGTGTTCCTGTGGAGGGCAACATTCTGGGCAAAGGCTGGAGGAGGAAATAAACCCAGAAACTGAGGAGCCAGGCCAGTTGTGGTATCTTCCTCTTCCTTGGTGAGAATCCAGCCAACAGCCTTTGCCCCTCCTGTGTTACCGGGCCCTTTGCATTCCCTCTCCCTCGCCCAAGCTCCAAGCTCCCCTACCTGGACCAGGTGGGTGGCTGGGCTTGGGGCAACCCAACCAGGACCAGGGCTTCTGAGCTGGTTTAGCAGCCGAGCTGAGCCCATTTGGAAGCCAACTGATTCTCCCTAAAGCTCATGGCTCAGTAGGCTCCTATTCTGCTACCAGAGCCTCTCTGGAGTCACGAGAGGCCAACCACTGCCCTAATCATGACAGAGCCTTGGGGGCAAAGGGGCCAAGAACAAACAGGGCATCTAACCTGGCCTAGGCATCAGGGAAGGCTGCCTGGTGGAAGAATTATTAGAGATGGGTCTCGAAGGATAAGTAGGAGTTTGCTAGGAAAACAAAAGGATGAGTAGGTAGTTGGGTGCTCCAGGCAGGGTGCTTAGCATATGCAGCAGCCTGGAGACCTGAAGAATCACAGCAGTGTGTCTGGAGCACATGGTGGGTGAGAGTGGAACAGACAGGATGAGGGCGCTGAAAACCAACCTTAAGTGCCCATCAAGGGACGAATGGATAAAGGAGATGTGGTATATATACACAATGGAATACTACTCAGCCATAAGAAACGATGAAATCCAGCCATTTGTGACAACATGGATGGACATTGAGGGTATTATGCAAAGTGAAATAAGTCAGAGGGAGAAGGTCAAATACCGTATGATTTCCTTCATTAAGTAGTAGATAATAACAACAATAAACAAACACATAGAGATTGGATTGGTGGTTACCAGAGGGGAAGAGGGGAGGGAGGAGGGTGAAAGGGGTAATTCGGCACATGTGTGTGGTGATGGGTTGTAATTAGTATTTGGGTGGTGAACATGATGTAATCTATGCAGAAATAGAAGTATAATGATGTACACCTGAAATTTATACAATGTTATAAACCAATGTTACTGCAATAAACAAAAAATTTAAACAAAAAACAAAAAACTTGGCCTATGAATCTTTCCCTGCAAAAAAAAAAAACTTGGCCTATGTCCAGGGAGCAAGGAGCCTGGAATATTCTCAAGCCGGTGGGGGGGGGAGGTGTCAAGGGCCTTCCGCCTTCACGTCTGTCCTGGAGCGTTGCCCAGGACGGTCGAGCTCTCCAGTGCACGCTGCTCCACCCTGTCCCCCAACACCTGGTTCAGGAGACAGAGTCAGTGCGCCCTCTGGTGGGTACTCAGCGGCGATTCCGCAGAGGCGCGGAGATCGGAACCCGGGGGGAGCCCGGGGCGCTTGCTGCTCTGGAGGCCCAGGAGATAAGGAGGGGTAACAGCTGGCCTAGCTGGAGCCGCTCGGCCGCTAAGGGTGGGGATAGGCCTGGGCAGGCGAGTGTGGATCTCTCCGGTGGACCCCAGCAGGCACCCAGCATCGAATCTCCTCCTACAACGGGATAATTTCTGACCCCAGAGGGAGGGAGAAGGGCCCTTTTACACCACTCCTAGAGGCCTGGAGGTCCACGAGAACAGCCGCACTCCCTGCTCCACGTGAGGATCCTCACCCTGTATCTGCTGGTACCCTCACGCACCTTCAGCTGGAGCGCCGGCTGCCTCCGTGGCAGGCCTCCAAGGGCCGAGGTGAGGGTGGGGTTCCCGGAGCTTGCGGCCTGGCTCTCAAGAACAAGTTCCTTTCTCCCAAATACCTGGAGTACGGTTTGGGAAAGGCATCCGGTTGGGCCGTTGGAGCCTCGCTCAGCCCACTCGCGCACTTTATCTCCAGTTCATTCATTCATCATTCGTGAACCCTAGTAGGGGTGGGGGTGGGGGTGGGAGACATTTATCGGTGAAATACAGAAATCTCAAACTACAGTGGGGACCCCTGCTACGGAGGGAGATGCCTTGAGAGGGGAAAACCTGGAGGGAGAGCAGGGGGTAACTAGGGCAAGGGTGGGTTGAGAGGGGAGGAAAGGGCGCAGATGAAACTCGAGTGCAAGGGCCCTGTGGCCCCAGGGAAGGTTACTATTGCTGGAATACCGGTAGGTAGACGAAGTAAGCGCTTAGATAACCATTCATTCATTAAGTCTTAAGCAACTACTACCTGCCAGGCTTTGGGGATAAGCCTGTCCTAGTGGATCTGATGCTCTCGTGGGTGGCTGGGGGTGTAGTAGGGAGACAATAAATGACTTATTAACTGTGTTAAAAGTTGGTTGCTGGGGGAAAGGAGATACGAGAGCCGGTTGGGGGGACGGGAGTCCGGGTGGTTTAGTATTAATGGGTGATCTGGGAGGACCCATCTGAAGATGAGTAAGGGAGCTCAGCAAAGCAGGGGCCCTAACGTTATTTTAACGAATTCAGTTTTTCAAGAAGAGTCCAAGAGTCGGGAATTGTCATGCGGGTGGGGCGGCCGGACGCGGGGGAGGGTTTGGGGGAGCTGCCCCCCACTCTGCCAGCCCCTTGCCTCGGATTCACTACTCAGCAGGGAACTGGACACACATGAACAGGTCTCCAGTGGGAATGTGCTCAGGACGGCCAGATGTGCCACACTGGAGAGGTCACCTCAAGAGGGAGGCTTCCCGGAGGACCGGCGTGGAGACCTGCGCTGAAGGAATAGGGAAGGGCCTAGGGCGAAAGTCTAGAGGTTGAATGGATGGGGGCGCAAGGAAGGGTGAGACCGAGATCAAGTGACGCCCGGATGGCCTGGCAGGGACGCCGGGGTTCTGTCCTGTAGAAGCAGGAGCGCAGACACGAGCCCGACAGGGAGCGATGCACACCAGGGGAGTTTTGGAAGAGCCAGGAGGTGCGGGAGGGAAAGGAGGTGGCTGCAAGGGCGTGGCCCGGAGGAAGGCTGGACTCCGCCTAGCGCAAGCGCGCTCCAAAGTGGGTGGGGGAAGGGCCTTACCTCGTCGTTGCGCCCCGCCCCGCGAACAAATAGTTGACATTCCAAGCTTATCTGGAGGGGGCGGGGCCCGAAGAGCGACGTTTCCCCCTCCTCCCGGGCCTAATTGGCTTAGCGCTTCCGGGGGGTGGGGACAAGTGGGCAGGCGCCCAGGTGGGCGGTCCCGAGAGGGGCTGCCGGGCGCTGACACCCGCCTACACCCCCAAAGGGTGTACGGGCCGGGCTCGTATCCCGAAGCTGCTGGAAGGCCTACCTACCTCCCACTCCTTCCCGGCCGCCGTGTCCTAGCGCGAGTCACTTCCATCCCAGACGCCTCGGTCTCTTTATCCGTCAAGTAGGAACGTGCTACACTGTGGGTTCAGTGGACAAGGCTTCGGCGGCGCCCCCTTCACCCCGGACTGTTTCGCTCTCTCCATTGTCCGAAGGTCCGGATGCAGCGCCCAGCTTTTCCGAAATCGCGAGGTGCGGCTCCCGCCTCAGTTTCGGCTGCGGCTTGGCAAGCCCATGTCAGCTCCCGCCGGGCTGGAGTCTCTTCTTCCCGCCAGATTCTTATTTGGTTTGTCAGTCACATAAATGGGAGAATTTGGAGAAGTTCGGGAAGCCTGGAAACGCGCGGTAAAGGAGCCTCACCAAGTTCGACGGGGCGGAAGGGTGCTGACAGCCTTCCACGCGGACTGTCCGAGTTGAGTTGCTGGTCCCTGATGGAGAAGAGGTGGAGGATCTGTAGTCTGCACGCGCACATGTACACATTCGCCGCTAGCCCGCACCCACCAGTGCGCTCACATCTTCAGGCAACGGGCGCGTCATCAAGGGGGGAGTGCGACGAAAACAGGCGGGAGCCCCACGTGGGGTAGGGATGACGCTTCAGTCCCTGACTATCCGGCTCAGCCCTGTTTAGGAGTGCCCCTCTCGGGACTTGCGGGAGCGGGGGCGCGTCTTCCTTCTCCCGCACCTAGGGCTGAGCACCTCCGGCCCACAACGACCGCGCTTTGGCACCGCGGGCACTCCCTGGAGCCAGGCTAAGGCCCGGTTTTCGCACATGTGTGGACAAGCCCTGCCCTGTGACTTATGGTGACACCTCCCAGATCCGGCCCCACGACTCTGGTGATCCCCGCCGCCCTCCCCTCCCCCAGTCGACCTCTGGTGATTCCCCCACAGGCCTCTGGGTGATACCCGGTAACGCTCACCGCTCCCTTTGACCCTTAGTGACTTCTTTCAGCCCCAGATCGGCCGTCGTGACCCCCACAGACCCTAGACGGCCTCTTGGTTATTTTCACAAGTCTCATGTGACCCTTAGGGACTGGAGAAGGCCCATAGTTTTGCACTTTCCTTGGCGGAGGCCTCATGGTGGGGGGTCGGGGAGGAATGGGGTCGCCTTCGAAGTCAGACTGGGCCGGCTGGGGAGTGGGAATCCCTGCCCTGAGCGCGCGCCCAGGCAGGGCGTGTGAGCGCGCGCGTCCCAGGCTAGGTTCTAGCGGCCCTCCCCCACGGTTCCCGGGGCCGCCCTCGGTCACGTGACCGACGGAACCGACAGGTAACTCGCCCAGAGAGGGCGGGTCTCAGCAGCGCCCACTGCGCCAGCCGGGCCGCAGGTGCCGCCCCCGACACACGGTGTCCCGCCCAACCTGATCCGCGTCTGCCGTCGGTCGGTGCGTGCGTGCACCTCGTCCGTCCGCGTGTATCTGGCCGAGCGCCCCCTTCCTCTGCGGCCATGACTCCGCCGCCACCCCAGCCACCGCCCCCGGGCCCGAACCCCGCCTCAGACTCCGCCGCCGCCCCCGTCCCCGGGCCTGGACCCCTGGTCGTACTGTTCGGGGCCACGGCTGGTGCGCTGGGGCCGGACCTGGGCTCCGACGAGACCGACTTAATCCTCCTAGTCTGGCAAGTGGTGGAGCCGCGGAGCCGCCAGGTAGGGTGGAAAGGGGGCGGTGGGGTCCCCAGGGAACTTCAGGATCCGAGGGGCGCAGTGGTCGATAGGTTTTCCCCGCCACTCGCAGGTGGGGACGTTGCACAAATCACTGGTTCGCGCCGAGGCGGCTGCACTGAGCTCGCAGTGCCGCGAGGCGAGCGGCCTGAGCACCGACAGTCTGGCGCGGGCCGAGCCACTGGACAAGGTGCTGCAGCAGGTGAGCGCCGGGGCCGGGGTGAGTGGAGGCACGGCCGAGCCGCTGGGATATTTCCTGGCGGGAGAGGAGACAGAAGGCAGGCCTGCCGCGCCGCGACCAACTGGCCCGGGCAGTAGGACGGGTTCCTGTTGTTTGAAACTTTCAGCGACTCCCGCGTGTGCGTGTGTCCGTCTGTGCCGACCATTCCTGGGGGCGTCTTATTTTTCAACCTTTCCAGGGATCCACTTCTACTGAGGGGGTGGGCATGGAGCCTGCGAGACCCCTCCCAGAGTACCCGGCCGGCGAGAGAGCGAGGCTGACGCTTCTGAGAACCTGACCCGCCAGGTCTCCCAGAACAACAGCCGGAAGCCGAAAGGGCCGAGGGGCCTGGACTTGGCAATAAGTCATGGTCCCTGCTGCCTGCGTCCTTGGCCACCCACCCGCCTGGGAGACGCTGGAGCGGGGGCGTAGGGCGGTGTCTGCCCCAGAGGCAGACGCCGCCAGGTGTAAGCTGCTCGCCTAGGCCTGTCCCGGCCGGCTGTCCAGGCGTGGGCGCTGTCCGGACCCCGCCTGGAGGCTACCTGCCTCCTGAGTGCAAAGGCCTAGGGTGCCTCCTGGCCCTGGCTGAAGTGGGAGGCGGTTCCCATTGCTGTTTTCTTTTTCTTATCTGCATTACTGCGCTCACCCTGTGCCTGCCTCTTGAGTGTAATGAGTGTTAAGTGCTTTAAACGCACAAATTCTTTCATTTTCCAACAACTCTGGTGATTCCTGATGAGGAAACGGAGGCACAAAGATGTTGAACCTGAGTCTGTTCCAGAAGGGTTCCCAGGCTAGGCACCAGTTGGGGAGTGTGCTGAAGGAGAGCTGGGTTGCCTTGCTCCGCCAGCCTCAGATTGTAAAGTTGTGGGTGGTAGGTTCCTGGGCCTATGCTTAGTGTTTATATCTGTTCTCCATCACAGATGGAGGCTGGGGGAGGGGCTGGGCAGCTTCAGGAGTGCCACCCCCTCCATGAGCAAACAGCTCAGTGCCAGCTGGTCGATAGAGTGTGGGTCAAAGCTCATGCTGCTTCTGGTGTCCAGGTGTGGAGTTCTGTCCTTGGAGTTTCTCTGCTCCTCGGTTGGTCAGACCTGGAGGCGGGGCTGCCGTTGACCATGAGCTGGCTGGGCCTCAGGCAGGACTGGGCCTCCCCAACTTGTCTGAGGGTGGTGCCTGGTCAGGGACAGGTTTAACCTGCTTTGCCCCGCCCCTTCCCACCTGCTTGTCCCTCTCCACCAGGTGTTTGCTCTGGCCCCACTCCAGACTTCTCCAGTGTGTGTGATGGGGCCTTGGGTGATATATGACTGCCTCCATTTGGCCTGGAGAAGGTGACAGTGAACTGGGGGCGAAGGGGGACATGGAGCCAGGCGCAACAGGCGTGGCTACCTCCTCCCCAGGCATGGTAGGGCTGAACATCTGGCTGAACCAGCTTTGCAGCCTGAGCGCTCCCTCCTCCTGTCCACCCAGCTATGAGTCTGCTCTCTCCCCACTCTCTATCCCCAGTTCTCACAGCTGGTGAGTGGGGATGTGGCTCTGCTGGGCGGGGGCCCCTACGTGCTCTGCACTGATGGGCAGCAGCTGCTGCGACAGGTCCTGCACCCTGAGGCCTCCAGGAAGGTATGCCACTGAGGGCACAACAGGGGGTAGGGTTCCCAGGACCCCCATTGTTGTGGAGGTGGGCAGGGCAGTTCAGTTCCGTCCATTCATCCTCTCTCCCGTGTGCCCCCAGAACCTGGTGCTCCCCGACACCTTCTTCTCCTTCTACGACCTCCGCAGAGAGTTCCATGTGCAGCACCCGAGTGCCCACCCTGCCAGGGACCTCACTGTGGCCACCATGGCACAGGGTATCTGTGACCCAGCAGGGTTAGGGTGGAAGGGCGGCTGTAGGCTGTATGTGTCTGAGTATGCACATGCTGGTGGGTTATGTGAACACACTGCAAGTTTACATTATCTGCTGAGTCCTTGAGTGCACGTCTCTGTGTCTGTGCCGGGGTGCGTTTGGAATGTGGAGATATGTCAACATATGTCTGGGCTGGGGATCTCTAAGGGCATACATGAGCTGGGCCAAAACAAATGTGTTTGCTGGGATTCTCCATGTGTCTGTGTAGGGAACTTGGGCCTAGATGGGACCAGGAGTAGCGCTGATGCTGGTTGCCCCAGGGCCTCTCATGCTGGGATTTCCTCATTGCTATTTCTCTGCTCATAGACTTGGGGCTGGAGACAGATGCCACAGAGGATGATTTTGGGGTCTGGGAAGTGAAGACAATGGTAGCTGTCATCCTCCACCTGACTGAAGGGCCCAGTGGTAAGGTTCCCCTCACTACCTGTCACCTGCTCTCAGGGCAGAGTGAATGCCTGTTATTTCCTCAAACTTCCCTTTCCCACTTGTTACCTTCTCTGAGAGACCACAAAGTGGAAGCCCCTTTGTCACCTCCTTATCCCCCTCAACTGTCCTCTTTTTGCAGAGCTTGGTGGGGAGACCCCCCTCCACCAGACCCTGCTGACCCCAATGCCATCTCCTCTCAGGTCAATTGTTTTCGAAGCCTGAGGTGGTAAAGCAGAAATACGAGACAGGGCCTTGGTGAGTTGGGGGCAGGGGTGGGGTTGACAACAGCTGGACAACTCTGACCCTCTGCTCTGCCCCCACAGCAGCAAGGCAGACGTGGTGGACAGTGAGACTGTGGTTCGGGCTCGTGGGCTGCCCTGGCAGTCATCAGACCAGGATGTGGCTCGCTTTTTCAAAGGTCTCAACATTGCCAGGTGAATATGGCAGGATGGGTGGGCCCAGGAGGGCAGGCCTACCCAAAAGGCACTAACGCAGCACTGGCTCCGCAGGGGTGGTGTAGCACTCTGCCTCAACGCCCAGGGCCGCAGAAATGGTGAGGCCCTCATCCGCTTTGTGGACAGCGAGCAGCGGGACCTAGCGCTGCAGAGACACAAGCACCACATGGGTGTCCGCTATATTGAGGTGGGGCTTTGGGCTGGGAGTGGAGCAGGGCAGAGCTGAGGCCGGCCAGGCCTGAGACCCACGGTATATACTGTACCCACAGGTATATAAAGCAACAGGAGAAGAGTTTGTAAAGATCGCAGGGGGTGAGTGTGCTCCCAACCACACATACCTCCTCCTGGTTCTTGGTCTGTGTCCCACTTCCCACTGCCCCTTGCTTTTCTGCTCCCCTGTGTGTCAGGTGTGGGTGGGTATTTGGAAGGGCACAAATTAAGTCAGTAGGTGATTTCCATGCTGACTCCCATCCCCTCCACCAAGGCACATCACTAGAAGTGGCTCGTTTCCTGTCACGGGAAGACCAAGTGATCCTGCGGTTGCGGGGACTGCCCTTCTCTGCTGGGCCAGCAGACGTGCTAGGCTTCCTGGGGCCAGAGTGCCCAGTGACTGAGGGTGCCGATGGGCTGCTCTTTGTGCGCCACCCTGACGGCCGGCCCACTGGTGATGCCTTTGCCCTCTTTGCCTGTGAGGAACTGGCACAGGCTGCACTGCGCAGGCACAAGGGCATGCTGGGTAAGCGATACATTGAACTCTTCCGGAGTACTGCAGCTGAGGTGCAGCAGGTGAGCAGCCAGGGCTTCTCCACTCCCCTATGTGCTTCTCTAGGGTGCCCCTTCCATACCCTGTGGCCCTGCCCTACTTGGCATGACCAGCCTGTTGCTGCCTTCCTTACTAGGTCCTGAACCGCTATGCATCCAGCCCACTCCTTCCCACAGTGACTGCTCCACTGCTGCCCATCCCCTTCCCACTGGCAGCTGGGACCGGGAGAGACTGTGTACGCCTTCGAGGCCTGCCCTATACAGCCACCATTGAAGACATCCTAAGCTTTCTCGGGGAGGCAGCAGCTGACATCCGGCCCCAGGGTGTGCACATGGTGCTCAACCAGCAGGTGAGGCTGTTGCCAGCAGGGGGACACACATAGTTAGGGAGAGGTGTGTGGTTGGGAGTAAGGCACTCTTGCACACGATCGACTGCTTACAAGACAGTGTACACAGGGCCGGCCATCAGGCGATGCCTTCATCCAGATGACATCAGCAGAGCGGGCCCTAGCTGCTGCTCAGCGTTGCCATAAGAAAGTCATGAAAGAACGCTACGTGGAGGTGGTCCCCTGCTCCACGGAGGAGATGAGCCGTGTGCTGATGGGCGGCACCTTGGGCCGCAGTGGCATGTCCCCTCCACCCTGCAAGCTGCCTTGTGAGTGTCCCAGGGGCTCGGGAAGGAGGCATGTGGGGGCCACCCTTCTGGCTGCCCCACCCAGGGCAATGCTGCGCTCTCGCTACCATCAGATGGCAATGCAGATGCACTCTCTACCTCTGCCTCTAGGTCTCTCACCACCTGCCTACGCCACCTTCCAGGCCACCCCAACACTCATTCCCACCGAGACAGCAGCTCTGTATCCCTCTTCAGCACTGCTCCCTGCTGCCAGGGTGCCTGCTGCCCCCACCCCCGTTGCCTATTACCCAGGGCCAGCCACTCAACTCTACATGAACTACACAGCTTACTACCCCAGGTACCCTGCTGCTAAGAGAACTCTACAGTCTTGCCCCTTGTCCTGGTTTGGAGGAGGGTCATGATCCCCTTCCTGAGCCAGATAACCCAAGGTCTGCTGGAGCTTGGACTTTATTCTGAATAGACGACAGGTGTGGGCTGGCTGATGCCATCTATAAACTAGAATGGAGATGACTGTAGAGGCAGGGGTTTTAGAGAGCAGGAAGTGAACTAAGTACAAAGCAGAGGCAAGGGAAGAGGGAGGCAGGTCTTGGTCTAGGCCATGGATGAGACTGCACTACTGAACCCCTGCCTCTTCCACCGTAGCCCCCCCGTTTCTCCCACCACTGTGGGCTACCTCACCACACCCCCTGCTGCCCTGGCCTCTGCTCCCACCTCAGTGTTGTCCCAGCCGGGAGCTCTGGTCCGTATGCAGGGTGTCCCATATACAACTGGTATGAAGGATCTGCTCAGCGTCTTCCAAGCCTACCAGGTGAGGTGTGGCTGGAGGGCTTGGGGACCTGGCTGAGCCTGGAGCTCCCTGCCCTAAATCTCTGTCCCTTCTGCAGCTAGCCCCTGATGACTACACCAGTCTGATGCCTGTTGGTGACCCGCCTCGCACTGTGCTACAGGCCCCCAAAGAGTGGGTGTGTTTGTAGGTGAGGAAGCCAGGAGGTAAGAGCTGGCTGATGTCCTCAGCTAACATGTCTCCTGCGTCCAGAGAACCAGCGCTCTCAACCTGGTGGCTTCTTTCTGGCTTGTCAGAGCTCTCAGAAGGCACCCAGAGGAGCTCAAGCCCCAGCTCCATCCCTCACTTATTGCTCTGCCTGTTCACCCCAAAGATGATGGCTGGACCCTGCATGCAGGGCGGGGGCTAGAATGGCACTACCCTGCTCCTGATGGCCTGATCTGGGCCTCCTGAGTAGCACCCAGAGAGCCTTTGGTCTTGTTCTGGCTATGGCCCATGCCCACAGATTGTGTGGGGCTGACATCCACAGCAGGCTTGCTTTCTTTTTAAAAATATAAGCCCTGATGCCTTCAATGTATGACTCTTGGGAGCTTCTGAGTAAAGATCCCAATGTTCTACCTTCCCCTGTCCCTTCTGGTGGGGGGCAAGGAGGCAGAGAGCACTGGTCTCAGCCCCCAGGATACTTGGACCTCAGAGGCCACGTTGTGCCAGGGGAGCTAGCCCCTCTCCAGTTTGGCACAAGGAATATCAGATGGCAAAATCACAGGCTGTTTTTGATGGACTGTACTGCAGTTCCCCAGAGGACACTAGGGGGCAGGAGGCCCTCACACAAAAACTCAGGCTTGAATTTTAAAAGGGGACTTGATGCCTACTTTTTATGCACACCTTGGGCAGGCCAATTGTCCTGAACTCAGCAGACACTATGGAATGTCCTTTGCACCCATTAGAGGGTGCAGAACTGAAGCTTCGGAAGGAATTTGGAATTCTACCTTCTCCTCTGTAAAATAAACAAAGGTTCCTAACCAAGTAGACTTTTTAAAAGCCAAAGTGCCCTTGGCTTTGGCCCCCCCCCCAAGTGAGGGGCTCCACACCAGCCCCAGACGGAGGAAAACTCAGGCAGATTTCAAGAAGACTGTTGACCTGTCACCATTTATTATTTCAGCACTGTAACTGAGGAGCCTGAATTGCTGGCTCTTCCCTTTGTATTCGTGTAAGGAGCACTGTCCTCCTCTAAAAGGTTTTAAAATACAAAATGTACAAGCAAACACAATCCCAAGTGCTGTAAACATAACTGAGAACCAGTTCCTTAACTGAACATCCGTTTTATAAAATACAAGGTTTCAACTTGAGCCCTTCTGAGCCTTAAAGATGAACATCTGTTATGAATATCAAAAACAGAGCTTCACAGCCAGACTCAGCAGAGCTCTGGTGATGGTGGCTACCCCTGGGTGGGGGTGGGTTGCACCCCAGGCAGCAGCACCACATATGAACCTGAAGACATCTGTGACTTTTAAAGCTGTTTTCAGTCATGTTTCTCTGTGCATCTCCAGTAAGCAAAAGGCTGTTCATCCCATTCCTCAACCCAAGATCCAGTACAGGTTGGAGGCGGAAGGGGTGGGTGCTAGCACATGCCCCGTTGCTCAGTGCTGCTACTAGAAATCAATTTGCATAGTCCAATGGATGTGCTTTTTGTGTGTGTGTGTGAGGAAGATCAGCCCTGAGCTAACATCTATGCCAATCCTCCTCTTTTTGCTGAGGAAGACTGGCCCTGAGCTAACATCTATTGCCAATCCTCCTCCTTTTTTTCCCCCTTTTTCTCCCCAAAGCCCCAGTAGATAGTTGTATGTCATAGTTGCACATCCTTCTAGTTGCTGTTGGATGTGTGCTTTAACACCCCTGTGTTGCATAAAAATTTAAGTCTTTACCTACAAAGCCAAAACATAACTGACTTTTACAAAGCTGATACAAAACTGCTTACATAGTATACAATGCTCTATTTTAAAATTTAACTTTTATTTTAAATAAGAAAGCATTTCTAGTGCTACAGGCATCAAGGTATTTAAAAGGCATCAAAATCTGGTGCATAGCAACTCTGGATCATAGAGGTTTTTATTTTTGAGGGCAGCAGAGCAACCCCCAAAGGGTCTTGCAAGGGGAAGTCTTGCAAGAACCTCATGTGAGGCAGCTACACCAGGGACAAGAGGGTGGAGGCAAGTCTGGCCAGCTCTCTGGAACTTTATCTCAGGGGCCAGCCTCCCACAACTCCTCCAAGGGAAGCTGTGGGCTTCCAACCACAGGCCCTGAAGCAAATCTCACTATCTACACTCTGTGACACAAAATTCACTTTCAAAGAAAAGATGAAAACACCCAGCTCCAAGAGGGACCAGAGTGATTTGCTGAAGGATATTTTTCTCTAACTAGTTTTTCTCTAACTAGTTTTAGAAGAGAAATCTAAAACACCATGGTTTAAAGAAAAAAAAGACGATACTTTCTCATCCTGGGTCAACAGCTCCTGTTGGTTAGAGGTGATGGGCAATGAGCTGGCTTCTTCCACCCAGGCCTCACTAGAGAATGCTGGCATCTAGGACCCACAATCCCCTGGAATAACAGCATTAAGCCTTTGACCAGCCCAGCACACTGTCTCACATGTAGGCACTCAAAAAATTTGCTTCCTGAATAAATGAAAGTACATCATTTCATTTGAATACATACTGCAAACTTCAGGGGCTTTGAAATAGGCCCAGGCCTTGGAACAGGTAACCAATCCCATTAAGAGGAGGGGTAAGAGCGGGTTTTGGAAAAAAGCACCCAATTTGGGCACCTCCTTTGGTAGACAGCAGGCTGAAGTTTCTTGCTGGCTCCTGCCTTGGGCGCCAGCCTCACCAGCAGCAGCACCAGGGCATCTTTGGTGTGGAGGGTCAGGTGTATGATGCTACCTCATTTCTGGATTTGCCTGACAGCCTTTCTGGGAAAAGGCTGGTTTTGAGGCCATGCAAAGGGGATAGGGTAGGCCAGAATCATTTTAGGCTGTAAACAGAATGAGGAATACGCTTTCCATGCCAGTGTGAATCTTAAAAGCTTCCCATCTGGAGTCCTGCGTTTTCTCTGCTCCTCTCCTGAAGCATAGCTCATTTATGCTTAGCTTCTGACACAGCCTGTCCTCTAGAGACAAGTCAGAACCAGCAAATTTGCCTAAGCGATCATGAGACTGTGGTTTCCCAGATTACAGAGCAGCCAAACGCAGATGCTCCCACTTGGAAAAGGTCTGGGACCAGAGGACAAAAAAGGGGAGAGCACTCCACAGCCTACTTGTTTGTAGGACAGCAGGAAATGAAAGCTACCAAGCTAAAAACCCCACCTTTCAAAGTCACCTTACTTGTAGCTATCTTACCCAAGGCCCCGAGGGAAAAAAGCAATTTCAACAGAGTCAGTATGGAGAGATTGCAGGAAGATTACCTAGAAAGTTACAAAAAGGCTATGCTCTGGAATGTCGTTTTATATTCCAACACTTCAATGATTGGAATGGTCTCTTCTTATTTTATCTGTTTACTTTTATAAAGAAGTATGAGCTACATTTGGCTTTATTTCCTATAAATCTATGAAAGGCTTCAGGACACATGCTGAGTTTCTGAGGCATAGGTGTGGGCTTAGGAGAATTTTTTTTTTTCTTTTATGTTTGCCTCTGGAAGGTTTTATCAAAAGTTCCTATTTTAAAAATATCATAAAAGCTAAAGGGTCCTTCAGATGACCACAAAGCAGTACAAATCACCAATCCTAGCTAAGCAACCAGGTCACCTGCAAAGGCAGCACCTCTAAAATGGAGGAGAGCCTGCTGCATTCACACTCAAAGCACCCATCATATAAACATATCCCATTTAAATATAAAACACAAAGCTCATTTCCCCAAAGCTCAAAAAGCCTATGCTGCTCCTATTCTTTTACAAAATCTACCCAAGGCCTGAGGTGGAGGAATGCTCCTTTCCCCGCACACAGTGATCCCAACTCCTGGCGCCAGTCCTGAAGGCCACAGAGTTGGAAACCCAAGGTCCAAGGATAGAAACATGCTGAGAAGTACATGGTGGTGGACACAAGGCTGCAGTGAGCACTGTCAGAGCCCGTCGGATCTTGCTAAATCCAGGGAATCGGGACCCGGGAGGGGAGCCTGCCTGCTCGCTCCTGTTGCTTGGGAAACAGAAATCTGGGACATGTCTCTCCCAATTATCTCGTTCACTGAAAAACAAGAAAAGGGAGAGGGATTAGTGACCTCTGCATGACTGACCATATGATGCTCAATGCTGAGCTCTACTTCAAAGACATCTGTTCCCTTTTCATGGCTTTCTATAAAGGTAAAGGCAGTGCTTGAAGCCTGCTCCTGAGCTGAACGGATAAGTCATTCCATAAGCTGTTCCAGACCTCTCTTTATCTCCCTTTCATTTCAGTTTGGGTTGGGAAGGGGGATGGCTGAGAGAACAGAGAAACATTCTTACCCTCACTGTACAGGCTCATGTTCTAGCAAAAGACAGGATACATGTATATATTTTTTATAATTTATTTATTCCCCCAAAGCCCCAGTAGATAGTTGTATGTCATAGCTGCACATCCTTCTAGCTGCTGTATGTGGGACATGGCCTCAGCAGGGCCGGAGAAGCGGTGCGTCGATGCGTGCCCGGGATCCGAACCGGGGCCGCCAGCAGCAGAGCGTGTGCACTTAACCGCTAAGCCACAGGGCCGGCCCAAGACAGGATATTTTTGAAATGTGTTCACCTTAATCTAACTTTTCCTTAATTTGCATCCCTTGAGGAGAGTTTTCCCTCTCTGATTCTTGCAGTGTAACTTGTATATAAAGTGAATGAAAATAAATGCTTTAATAAGAGTAAACCATTGACATTTGGGGGTTATTTTGTTACCCCATGCTAATACAAGCATCTTTTATTATGTGGGGCATTTGTATTGTTTCTGATCCTTTAAGAAAAGGCTCTTTGGGCCAGCCCCGTGGCTTAGCGGTTAATTGCGTGCGCTCCGCTAACTGGCGGCCCAGGTTCAGATCCCGGGTGCGCACGGATGCACTGCTTCTCCGGCCATGCTGAGGCCGCGTCCCACACACAGCAACTAGAAGGATGTGCAGCTATGACATACAACTATCTACTGGGGCTTTGGGGGAAAAATAAATAAATAAAAATTAAAAAAAAAAAAAAAAGAAAAGGATCTTGCTCTTCTGTTGGTTTCTGTGATGTGCCAAGCACCTCAGGGAGCATAGTGTTCTGTGAGGTCAAGTGCAAAGAATTTCCATCTTAAGGAACTAATACTGAAGGAAACACCACAAATTCCCCAAATAAGAACCTTTAGTTCTCTCACCATGAGAACTCTGCTCTAAAATGAAAAGTCTGCTTTATCAACTAAAGATTCTATACTAATTCTACTCCTAGGTATATACTCAAGAGAACTGGAAACATATCCACATAAGAACTTGTACTTGAATGTTCATAGCAGCATTATTCATAATAGCCCCAAAGTAGAAACAACCCCACTGTCTACCAAGTGATGAATGGATAAACAAAATGTAGTCTATCCATACAATGGAGTATTTATTCAGCCTTAAAAAGGAATGAAGTTCTAATACACAATACAACAAGGATGAACCTTGAAACATTATGCTGAGTGAAAGAAGCCAAACAAAAAAGGTCATATATTGTTTGATTCCACTTGTATAAATTGGCCAGAACAGGCCAATCCATACAAACAGAAAATAGACAGGTGGTTGCCAGGAGTTATGGGGATGAAGAAATGGCGAATGACTATTAACAGGGATGAGATTTCTTTTTGGAGTAATGAAAATGTTTTAAAATTGGATAGTGGTGATGGTAGCAAAACTCTGTGAATATACTAAAAACCAATGAATTGTATATTTTCAAGAGTGAATTTTATAGTAATGAATTATATCTCAATGCAGCTGTTATAAACAAAAATATACCAAGACAAAAAAAATTCTATACTTAAAATCTGATGGGATCATAGCAAAGGAGACACTAACAATCACTTTAAAAAAATCTTTGAGTATTAACATCTTTTACAGTTAAGAATCTTTTAGGTGGTTAAGAAAGAAAGTCCTTCAAACTCATATACTCATTATGGCTATAAGGAGAAGGAACTAATATTTATTCATTCCACAAATATTTATTGAGCATCTATGGGTTAGACTTTACAACTGAACTTTTATATCTTATTTCAATTAATTTTTACAACATTTTAAGATCACTACTATTACCCCACTTTACAGATTGGATAACTGAGGCTTTGACAGTTCACATAATTTGCTTAATGGTGGCATCAGCTTCAAAATATCTGTCAC